TCCTTATGAACGTCCTGCACTTAGCAAGGCATACCTTTTTCCCGAAGGCAAGTCTTCTTTTTACTTGGACACTGAATTGATCTCTGTCTATGGGTAAAACTTGAATAGCGGTTGTTTTAGATGGGATTGCAGAAACTGCATGTTATATTTTTCAGAATTAAAAGTCTTTACACACACACACAAGCACTTAATGCGTTTCACTCACATATTTCTTGTAAACTAATTACTGCTTCCCCTACAAGCAAAGAAAAAGAAAAAATAGAAAGTCAAAATTGAGCATGATTAGGGGTGTGCATTCGAATCGGTTTATCGATAAATCGAATCGATTATTTATTATCGGTTTATCGATTTATCGATTTTGATTTTGATTTCGAAATTTTCCTTATCGAGTTATCGATTTCGATTTTGTCCTCTTCGGCTTTTTACTAAAAAGACATTTTTTTTTACCCTTATTCTATAATACCCTTTCCTTTCCCCTAAGTCCCTAACCCTATTATTTCCTCTACCACATTTAAGGAATGATCATATTTAAAGATCAAGGGAATGAAGTTCAAATTAATGGAAAATAGAATTAGCCGTGATGATGTATTTTTTTTTTTTACCGTTGGAGTGTTGGTGGCATACATTTGATCCCTTACTTTAGTTTTGTTGCATGTGCTTGTTGACACAATTTTTATGTTATAAACGGTGTTCGTCTTATTTTAGCTTCTTTTTGTCCATATTAGTTAGGTGTGTTTATAGCGATATACTTTCCGTGGAATCTCGCAAATTTTCTTATTGGTGTAATCGATAACCAAAGCGATAAATCGAAATCGAAAAAATCGAAACCTTATTGAAACGATAACGATAAACATATGTACAAATCGATAATCGATAAGTAATTATCGATAAGGGTCAAAATCGAATCGATAAATCGAATGCACACCCCCAAGCATGATATATTATACAGATGTTATCTCATGTAGTTTGGCATAAAATTCTATGTCAAAAACTGCTGGCTTTCTATTTTTCTTGGTAGTTGACCTCTTTATCAGAAAAACCTTTTTCCTGAAACCTTATTATCCATTTCTCTACCAGGAGCTGCAAGACTCCCAGGGTTTCATGTGTGTGTTGGAAGTGGGGGAGAAAGACTTCTTCCTGAATGGTATGCAGAGAAAGGTAATAATTTCCTTGTGTTTATGCATTATTTGCAGACATATGGCCATGCGGGACTTATGTCAAATTTTGCATAACAGTTGTACATATGGCCATCCTAGACTACATCTCTTATGCATCATATGGTCTCATCTTGCAGGCATATCATTGATCCTGAGTACTGAAATAGTGAAAGCAGATCTTACTTCAAAGACTCTCGTTAGTGCAGCTGGGGAATCTTTTACGTATCAAACACTTGTTATTGCAACTGGATCAACTGTGAGTCTCATGGAATTCGTTTTATTCAGTGTTATTACTTTTTGTCGCCGGCCATTACATGAACTTCTCGTTCTATGTCTGTTCAGGTTCTCAAGTTGTCAGATTTTGGTGTGCAAGGTGCTGATTCCAAGAACATCTTCTACTTGAGAGAAATTGATGATGCTGATAAGCTTGTGGAAGCAATAAAAGCTAAGAAAGGTGGGAAGGCTGTAATTGTTGGGGGAGGGTACATTGGACTTGAGCTTAGTGCTGTAATGAGACTGAACAACATTGAAGTCAGTATGGTTTACCCAGAACCATGGTGCAGTAAGTAAATTGCTTCTAGTCCCCCCATTGTATGCATAACATGAAACATTAAATCGTTTCATGATAGATATGGAGAATATATTATCCTGATCAATTGGATTCTAATCTTACAGTAATCCTTATGCTTTTGCAGTGCCTCGGCTTTTCACAGAGGGCATAGCTGCATTCTATGAAGGTTATTATCAAAACAAGGGAGTCAATATCATCAAGGGTACAGTGGCTGTTGGGTTTGATACACATCCAAATGAAGAGGTTTTTCTCAAGACTGCACCACTTTGAGAAATCTTGTTGAGCTTCAAAGCATTACCTCACAGCATTCTTGTTTCCAATTTGCAGGTGAAGGAAGTCAAACTTAAGGATGGTAGAGTTCTGGAAGCTGACATAGTAGTCGTAGGAGTCGGGGCACGACCACTCACGACTTTATTCAAAGCGCAAGTTGCAGAGGAGAAGGGTGGAATTAAGGTGTGTGCTCACTGTTCAGTCTCATCCTTCTATTAAGTTCTGATTTTTCGTACTTTTATTCTGACAAGCAGATTATTTTTGTTACTTTCACGGCTAAACCATTAAATTTTTAAGTATAAGCTTCAAAAGTAGATGAGAGCAACTGAGATGATTCGTTGAGGGAACAAAATAAATAGTATCGTGTCAATGGATTCCAAAAATTCTGATGCTTCCTTAGGCAAGACGAAGAATTGAAGTAATCATACATGAGAGTTGTATTAAATAGTAGTGGAAATCATTGAACCAAGGAAACAACATATTTTTCTTGTCGAACTAAAAGCTGTGTGTTCTTGTCGAGCTAAATGTATCTATGTTGTTTCTGAATTGCTATACTTACGCCAAAGGTTCTATTTGCAGACAGATGCATTCTTTAAAACAAGTATACCTGGTGTATATGCTGTGGGTGATGTTGCCACTTTTCCTTTGAAAATGTACAATGACATTAGAAGAGTTGAACATGTTGATCATTCTCGCAAATCTGCTGAGCAGGCTGTCAAGGTATGTGACAGCTCCCTGATCTGGTCCAAAGTTAATGTCAAAGTTGTATATCATCATCCTTCTTATAATACGTTATTCTTTACTAGCCAACTATGACTTTGCTCTCATGATATAAAATGGATATTTGAAGCACACTAGACATCTAGATTAGGGTGTTCAATACTGAAAAATTCTCTCCACTCTACTTGCTACTGGTTGGTTATGTCCTGGCTCCTGTGTATATTTGTTATAGCTATAGTACAAATATGTGACAGTACAATGTTAAAATTACACTCACACAGGCCGCCGTTTTCAAGGTACATGTTGTCCAAGTATTTTTGAGTTCTGCAGATCTTTTTCCTGTCTTTTTCTTCCACAGTGTGCCTTCTTAGAAGAGCTTTCTGCAGTTTGCTAGTTTCTTTCTACTCTTTTCAATCAACTCAGTCAAATGTAGTTACAATTCCTGACTCCACATTTTTATTATGGTGAAGTAAAAAATGTTAATGTTATTACTATGTTGCCCGTGCAGGCAATTTTTGCCAGTGAGCAAGGGAAGTCTATTGATGAATATGACTACCTTCCATACTTCTACTCCCGTGCCTTCGATTTGTCTTGGCAATTCTATGGTGACAACGTAGGGGAAACAGTGCTCTTTGGGGATGCTGATCCCAACTCTGCAACTCACAAGTTTGGACAATACTGGATCCAGGACGGAAAGGTTGTCGGTGTATTCCTAGAGAGCGGGACTCCTGAAGAGAATAAGGCAATTGCGAAAGTTGCTAAAGTTCAGCCCCTCGTTAGCAGCTTGGATCAATTGGCACAGGAGGGCCTCAGCTTTGCCTCAAAGATCTAAAGCTTACTTATATTGGATTAAAAATGGCTATTTGAAGTTTCTTCCTTCATACAATGTTGTAATTGTTTGATACTTTTTCGTGGCTGGTTGATTGATTAAATATGATGTTTCTTCATCTTGAGTTTAGTTGCAGAAGATCACCCTCTAAGGGACTAGCCATTTAGGCATATATCTACCTAAGGAGTGACATCTGTAAATAAGGGAATGTTGGATACAATGGTTTCTGAAATACTTTTTTCCAGAAAAAATGAGCATCTATTTATTTGATTATGCCTATCGAATGAAAAAACACAGTTAATCACTTTGATTCTGCTCAAAGGAGTACATAGCCTGTTTGGCCAAGCTTCTTTTTGGCCAAAAGTACTTTTGGCCAAAAATTGAGGTGTTTGGCCAAGCTTTTGGAAGGAAAAAAAAGTGCTTTTGAGGAGTAGCAGAAGCAGTTTTGGAGAAGCAGAAAAAAGTAGCTTCTCTCCAAAAGCACTTTTGAGAAAAATACACTTAGAATTAGATTTTTAAAGCTTGGCCAAACACTAATTGCTGCTCAGAAGTGCTTTTCAAACTAATTAGCCAAATACAAACTACTTCTCACCAAAAATACTTTTGAAAAAAAGCACTTTCAAAATAAGCTGATTTTTGCAGCTTGGCCAAACGGGCTAAGTAGTACTCCCTCTGTTCCATCTATGTGACACTAATTTCTTATTAATCGGTTTAAAAAGAAAACACCTTTCTACGTTCAGAAATAATTTAACTTTAAAATTCGTATTTTACCCTTAATGGTATCTTTTATGGCCACAAAAACTTCATGGGTATGTTTAAGATGACAAGTTCAAAAGCATTTTTTCTTATTTAAACTTCATGCCTAATCAAACTACGTGAAAATAGCACGGGCTAGCTAGTTTTCGGACCGATAATTGAAAAATAGTCACTATTTTACCGCAACACGGAAAGTTTCAGTATAATATATTGGAGATTGATGCATCTGTGTAAGAATTTCCAGCATATTATGCTGGAACTCCAACATACGGAAAGTTCCAGCATAATATACTGGAGATTGGAGTACCTGTGTATGAACTTCCAACATATTATACTGTAACTCCAGTATGTTATGTTGGAATATTTTCCGAATTTTGAATAGTGTTTTCGTTCAGATTTATCTTTACATGAAAGGTGACTAAATTTCGATTACTTTTGAAACTGTGGTTATTTTTCAATTACCACTTGTAAATCTGGCTATTTTTGAATTTCACCCTCAAACTACACCACATAATTTGAAATGGGAGAGTAATAAACCAAGTATGACATGATATATCTGACACCTTGTTAGTGTGTGTGGGGTGTGTGTGGGGTGTGTGTGTGTGTGTGTATATATATATTGTGAAGCTGATTGCAGAATCTGCCTTAGTCTTGGTTTTATCCTCAGCAGCAGCCATCAAACCAACAAAACATCCTCTGCCTTTGAAAGTCACGGAAATAACTGTATTACTCTTCCATAGCTAAGGATGTAGCATTCACATCATAGCTGAAGCTTGAAACATTAAGAAACCACCAAGTCCTCTCTGGTTTTTTTCTCATCTCACCTTTGGCAGTAATCTAATAGATAAATGAACAACTCTACAAAGTGTCTCATCAAGAGTAAATATGTTCCAGCATTAATCTAGAGCTGTTTCCTCTTCATCTTGAGGACCCTAAATGCCTATTAACTATTACCAAAGGTATGAGCATCCGTGCCAGAGCTTCCAATAATCTACTAATGTGTAGGCCAGTATCTTGTAGCTTTATACAACCAACTTTTCTTCATCTAGTCCAGGAACTGCAATGTCTTCCCTCATCATGCAATAGTAATCATCTCCAACCTGTGCTCCAGCTTGACTAAACAGTTCAACGACCGCAGGTAATTTTCCATAATACCTCTTCAAAGAATCTATCAAAAGATGGCCAGCGTGTGGGTTTCGGACATGCCAAACATAAACAGTGGAGAGAAGATCATCTATTGTTGCCTCTTGCCAAGCATGTTGTCCATCCCTCATCTGGTGCTTGAATGCTTGGCATTGCCTAACCCTATGACCTTTTGGTCCAACTTGCACCTCAGGACAATATCCACATGTTTGGACGGCATAGGTTTGCATGAGCTGTATGGCTCCGGTACGCATACTCTCCCAAGCTTCCATTCCTCGCATTGCGAATCCTGGAGAAGGCATATATAAGTTACGGAAAATGAAAACTAGAAGGATTCATCATACCATAAGCAATAGTTCTTTAACATACTTGATGCTCGTGAGAGGGAATCACTTGCAATATTTTCAATATAGGAAAATCCACATTGCAAAATGGAAAGAATTTGAAGAGAAACAATTGAGAAAGTAACATAAAGACGCACCTTTTATGCCATCATATGGTAAATTCAAATATTTTCCATCTCCATCTGGCTTCTTTATAGTTTCCCTAAATTTAGAAGTTTCTAAGTCCTTTCCGGATAAATCATCCTTGGGAAACCTCTTCTCAAAATCTATGAGTTTTCCAGCAACCCGGTAAATGGGGAACTTCCTTCTTTGGGTTGGGTACTCAGGTAAATCCACGCCAGCCTGAATGCACAATTCCACAAGGGCTGGGATGCGATCAACTTCAAGTCGCTCATTATGTGAAACAGCTCTTCCCAACCTGTCATAGAGATGAAAAGATTCGACAACAGGCAACACGTGCTCTACACCCCCTCTCTGCCATATATGCTCTTTGTTCTTCTGACTGCCACTAACGTCGCAAGTTCTGATCCTATGTGGTGGATGACCAACATGAACTTCACTACATACGCTGCACAAATGGCCAGAGATCACAACATAAGCTTTATTTTAACAGTTGAAATTCACAGTGGGTTGCAAGATAATCTCCAATCAATTAACTAGGCCTCAATCCCAAAATCAGTAGGAGTCGGCTATATGAATCTTCTACACCCATCATGCTTTATTCAAGTCTATTTCATTTAAATAACAAATATCTAAATCTCACACTAATTTCCTACCGCGATTACTAGTTTAACCTTAACTAGTTGATATCGCCTTTAAAGATCCTTTGCTCCTATTGTGTTACACTCTTAGCTACATCTACACAAGAATTAAGTAAAATGAACAGGAGTATCATATTTTACCATTATTACTCCAATCCTTAACCTACCACAACCTACACTTTATTGGGACTTGAGATCGGCTATGCTCCACAAAGATATGCTCTACCAGATCGTCTTATCAGCTATAGTTCCACAAATTTTCCATGCTTTTGTTCTAAATCGTAGGTCCGCTATCAGAGGCGATCTACAGTGTAACCTACGGGTTGACATGAACCCAATAGCTTTTTCCCAAACTTTATATATGTATTAAGAAATCCGTAAAATATTTATAAGGGGCTGTAAGGTTTAGTAATCGTGAGGGGAGTTAATACCACCATTTTGGTATAACGATATTAGCTAATACCCACAGCCAAACATGGGTTAACTATAATCCCAAATTTTATACTGGGATCAATATCCTTATCCTGGTAACCAAAAGACACCTTAAATATTTGACTATGAACCCAGTTAGTATGGTATATTAACTTGATATCGCTATAAGAACCCATAAACTTCAAATCCTGGATTTGCCTCTATCCGTTATACATTTGATTAGTTGTGAGAAAGTTGGCTTAAATTGCAAAAATTGGAGGGAAAATGAAACGTTACCTGCAAAAATAAATAGGAATTTCCTCCGAAATCCTTGAAACACAAGCGAATAACTGACCCCTGGAAGCTAAGACTTGATGAGCAAGTGAGATTAGTTCTTTAACTAATAGCCCATTTTCAGGTGGCCTCAATGGAACTTCACGTGCAACCCTTCTTTCTTGCTTGTCCAATCTTGCTATCCTCTTAAGCTCATTCACACTAGTCACCATTGGTTTTCTTTCATCCCTTTTCAGCTTTCTTGGTAGCACTTCCAAGCCAGTTGAATAATACAATGGACTAACACTGTCCAGCTCCTTTACATTGGAAATTATTGTATTGCGACAAAGATTAAAGATTGACCCAACTCGTCTATAAGACATTCTGTTAGGCTACGAGTTCGAAATACTGAAATTTTTAGAAGCTTATTTGGAAATTCATCAGCTGGGCATTATAACAAACAGTTGGTGTGCGGATCATGCTGTGCAGCTTTTAACGGCAGAAGAAGAGGCAAAAGTAACTACAAAAGATAGTAGTGACTTCAAGAAAGAGGAAAAAGATGAACAATTACAAGTGCCTAGGAAGAAATACGGACCTGGACTGGAGCTCTGGAAGAAGATGGTGGAACGAGCAGTAGTCAACTTTAAATTATGATTAGTAAAATTTAATTTGAATTACTTTAGTATATATATTGCACCTTGACTTTTGAAGCAAATTAATTTCAAAATTTTATGCACGTGTAAAGTTTGTTAGCTATTAGTACTATATTGTATCGTATTATTCGTTTAGATAGAATATTTGTTATGATTATTACTTAAAATTTATTGTATTATATGTATTATTAAATTTATTATTACGTAATGATAAAAAATATTATTTTATATAATGATTACTTTGGTGTGATCGCGTAAATAATCATATTTTATTTTTTATCGTATCTTTTTATATAATAATTTTACCTTTTTATACCTTTTTCATTGTAATATTGCAAGTTTATTTTTCATATTATTGATGCATGACATCATGAAATAACGACAAACGATATAATTTATTCAAACGTTATATTTATTAAAATATAGTACAATACAATACGATATATTGTGAAACGATATGTAATAACCATCCAAACAGGCTAGAGCGATCGTTTGGTAGGAGGGATTAGAAAAATAATTTCAACATCAAATCCGACATAAAATAATATGCAATTTTTTGTTACCGAGAGTAGATAAAATATCTTCATAACTAGTGTAATATTTGATTAATTGGACTAGAAAAATAATCTCCATATAACTTTATGCAATATTTGTCTGATAATAACAATGTTGTGTTATAAATATATAGAGATAAAAGTAATTAGAGATTATAATGCAGAAATTAGTATTCTATAGTTTATAATACAAAGATTATTTCGTATTGGATCTTGAGTTTGACACATCACAAACTTATAGTAATTTATAATTCCAAATGTATTGTTTACTTTTAAATAAAATAAAAATTTACTTACTATTATGTGGCTTAGTATTGTCATTTTAGTACTTTAATACATGTATAACTAATATTCGCATTTTCAAAGCACAATTTATATGGAGATTACTTTTCCAAAGATTATTTTGTCTTTGGGTTGCCAATTGGATCTGTTAATTTAATACCCAACATTTCCTCAGTAAAGCACAATCTTATTGTGGATGGGACTTTTTAGATTGAAAAAGGCTTCTAAGATCATGTTCTAAGGAGTGTCTTAAAAGACATTTTTGGGGCGAGCCCTGAGTCAAGGCGTACCAAAAACGTCCCGAGACAGTAGTGGGGGGCGAAAGTCTCAAGAGTCGAGGCATACATCCGAGCGTTGAGACGAGTTTTTTGCCGGGAGACGTAAGCCCAAGAGGCTTTTTCAGATTAAAATAAAATTTGCTGAATAATTCCTTAATATAATGCTCAAATTTTCAAAAGTCATCTTGTAATTACTCACAAGTTTTAAAAAGGAACCAGAACAAATTTAAAAGTCAACACCTTTTTTTATTGCTAGAAACCCTAATTTATGGGTTTTTTTAATTTTTTATCTTGTCTGCTACTATCTTCCAAAAGCAACAAACAGTCATTTTTTTTTTGGCAAATACAAAGAAAACTTTTTAATTTTTGTTCTTCCATATAGAAAACTCTAGTCTTTTCAACTTAAGTTACTTGTGATGTAAGTAGCATATAATGGATTGTTTTGACTAATTTTTATGAGGATGGAGCACATCTAAATATATTTTTCACTTATTTATATTTTTTAATTTTTTATGCAATTTTGCCTATTTAAAAATATGTATGGTAATTAGATTATTTATAACATATTAAAAATTATAAATACCTATGGGGCTTACACCTTGTGCTTCGGGATTTACGCATCGCTAAGACAAGACATATATAAAATATTTCGCCAAACGCTCATGCCTTTTAAAACATTGTTATAAGCATTCTAATGTTAAACAAACATAAAATATCCATTTGGCTCTTGACTTTCATATCCATAATTCTAAATAGAGCCTTGGATTATTCTGCCCTATGATAGTATTGCACATTACAAATGTTGGTTTTCATAGTATGAATGCACAAAAAACATCTCGCTTTGGACCTTAAAAAGGTGTAGTTCGTTGCACGAAATATTCCGTATTCATGCAAGATTCGGGGAAAGGCCATATCCTAAGGGATATGACGTAGGCAGCCTACTCTGATACAAGTATCAATGGCTGATTCTGTAGCTCGAACACGTAACATATGGGTCACATGGAGACAACTTTACTGTTGCTTCAAGACTCCCTTCTATATCTGTTGACCTTAGTTTTGATTTACTTTCCGTTGACTGATGCATTACAACAATAACAACAACAACAACAACAATTACTCAGTACAATTTCACAAGTGGAATTTGGGAAGGGATCTGCGTACACAGATCTTACCCCTATCTTGGAGATAAAGAAGCTATTTCCGATATACTCTCGGAATATGTAGAAACATAATTTGTAGTAATTTTGAGCCTTTTGAAGCCTTAGACTGAATGCTATACTTTTTTTTCCTTTTTCTATTTTACTATTTTTCTTAGAGGCAATCTAATTCATATGTACTACACATTCTTTGTACTACAAAATAAAAGAACAAATCTTCAAAATTCCTAAAAAAAACTTAATTAAGCAGGGACCATATTTCTACGCGGGGTCTTTATTTCTATATGATATTTTCTTATGAATATTGTATGACAAGTTGAACTTAAAGCAGCCACATTCTGTGATCTATGTTACAAGTTGAAATTTCTATTTTAGTTTTTTCTTAGCTTCCTTCCTTTTTCTTCTATCTTTTACAGTTATAATATCCTCCAATAATTCAGATTGATATTGAAAATTCCTTTTTTCCCCCTCATTTTGATTGGATTCTGTCTTTTCCACTTCATTTACATACCAAAAAGTTATATACCCATACTCAAAAGAATCTCTTAGAAAAATAAAAAATACGAAAAACGTTTTTTGGTCCCAAACTGTCGGCTCGTGGGTCGGAGAAAGGGGCGTACCATAACAAAACAAGGGAATGAAAGGTTGTTTTTAGGTCAAATTCACAACCTATTTAATACATCGATGTGACCCTTAATAGAGGTCGCTTTGAGTTAAATTGTTCACAACCTACTTAATGCATTGATGTGACTCTTAATTAGTGATCGCTTTAGGTTAAACTCTTTACAACTTATCAACGAATATGACTCTTAAATTACAGTTGTTCTTGCTAAAGCCCGAGTTAATCACGATGAGATCTTCGACATAAACGATAGAATAGATCGACTTGAATACCTATTCACTTCATTACATCTAATACAAGGATCAATAATAACAATAATAACATATTTAGTGTAATTTCACAAGTTGGGTCTGGAAAGAATAAGGTATACGAAAACCTTACCCTTACCTCGTATGAGGTAGAGATGCCGTTTTCGATAGACTATCGGCTCAAGAACATCAGTATCAAATTGACATATTATATTCAGTGATATGCTCAAGAATTTAAAAGATTTACCAAGCAATAGGCAATTTATTAGTATATGCAAGGGCGTATGTAGTGTATTAATGATGAGTTGAATTGAATTCATAACTTTCGACGCGGAATAAAAATTTATTAAAGTTACAAAAATAGTGGATATGAACCCACAACTTTAAAAATATAATAGGTTCAACGCTAAAAACCATAAAAGATGAACCCATAAAGTTTAAATTCTGGATCTGCCTCTCTATACTAGTGTCCGAATCATTAATGTCCTGAATGATGTACTCCTTTTAGGCATTAACATGTAGAAATACACAATTATTAAGATGAAATAATAAAGCAAAATAAAACCAAAAAGAAACTCATCTTTATGAAAATGAGAAATTTGAAGTACTTTGGATTCAACAGCTGTTCTCTATTCTTAATCTGCAGCTAGAATTGGGTATTCTTCTTTCTTCAACCAAAGCAGTACGAGCTGACACTATATTACTATTCATTAATGAAGCATCAAAAGCACTACAATCAATCCAATCTTTGAGTAATTCTTCTTGACCCCATATATCTGGAATCCATACATGACCAGCTACTTCAACCCGATGTCTTTTCAATCTCTCACGTCCATTATCTTCCACGTACGATTCGCCTTTGTTATATCCACTTGCATGTTCCTCGACTACTGATAGTTTGTCCTGCGTAGCTCTTGCATCGTTGAATTTATCCCCTTCGTCAGAAGTGGATTTTGACTCGTGGTTTTCTTCACTCTTCATCTTGTTTTTCTTCCCTAAACTCGGGCGTTGTGACTCGATCTTGTCATCGTTAGGGTTAGGAGTACTACTCTTGGGTAGTATCAAAAACAATGAATTTTCGCGTTGATTAGTCATCGAAAATGTATCGTTGATTTGTTGTTGTTGTTGTTGCCGCTGCGAAAAAATGTTTTTTTTTTTTTTTTTTTTTTTTTTTTTTTTTTTTTTTTTTTGCTATTCTACAAAATCAAGAATTGGAGTTAAGCTAAAGAGAGAATCTATTCTTGTGTTGGGGAATAATGCAAGAGGGCTTTTATTATTTTATGTGTGGGAAATAAAGCAAAGGATTTTAATTGGTGGGGTGATAGTTACCACGTCATTGACCACAAACACAAAGTGGGAATTCTTTTGTATGGCAAGTGACAAATGTACGTGTAAATGTTGAGATTTCATTCTCAAATTGTGTGGTTTATTTCAAATCTTGAAAAATTGTACCCTATAAAAAGAAGGAAAAAGATAGGCCTCTAAAATCTAAGGGGAATAAATACAATGGATTTTTGGAAGATTGTGAGGTTGACGTTGATTTTAAGGGGGCTGTAGTAGGGCTAGAAAATAATTCGGTTCCTGCATTAAAACCCGACGAAATCCGGATCGTGCCAAAAAAATGTCACATTTGGGTAAAACACTTCCTAATAAAGGTGATTCTATACTCGAAGCCCGACTAAATCCGGATATCGCCAAAAAAATGTCACATTTGGGTAAAACGCTTCCTAATAAAGGCGATTCTATACTCAGACCTCGAATCCGAAATATCTGGTTAAAGATTAAGGAGTATTTAATACTCTATCACAATGGTAGGGGAAATAGAGTTATTTCTATGCTTTTGGCCAATGACCATATAGAATTTGATAGTGGTTTGTGTGAAGCTAGCTGTATCAATCATTTAATAAGATGGTGANATATATATATATATATATACACACACACTTTTTGATTGACTAATGTAATTAATTTCAGTAGATCGGCTAATTTTGTATTTTATCCATTAAATTACGGTGAAAAAAATTATACTATCAGCAATATATATATAACTTTTCCTTCTATTTGTTTTGTTCGGATCAGCTAAAAGAGAGCATTACGGATATATCGATTCTCTTAAATTTTATGTCATAGCATATATATACTCGGATTAAGCATATTCAAGAAAGACACAAATGATTACCTTGGGGATAAGTTTTCTCGTAACTGTATAGGAATATGAGCAATACACGTACATCCAAACACTCGCAAATGCTTATTATAATAATACCGTCCCAGTAAAAAGTGTTGTTATAACTTTTTTTTTTGGTTGCAAAAATCATAACCTTAACCTGATTTTCAGCCCTCCAAAATACTTATGTACATCTCTATTCATCTCAGCATTTACTTCTGTATTTCTTTTTTATCTTATCATCTGAACCTTGAGATTATTAGTAGCAAACGAATATGTTTACTTAATTATTTAATAATTTCTATTTCTCCATTTTAGGATGTTTCAAAATATTTAACTTCATTACATTTCTATATAATTTTCTTAACTATAAGAAATTTACTCAAACTCCAATACAATTTTATAAAATAGAGTGAAGGGGTTCGATCGTTGGCGGAGGCAGGATTCTGCTAAGAGGTTCGAAAAATTAAAAAAACTGTAGTTAATGGGATTCAAAACATAATACATAGAGGTAAGAAATAGACCCCTTTCAGCCCCGTAAATCCGCCCTGGGTTCAATGATTATATGACTCATTACAAATATTGGCCATTTCACAGAAAATCTTTATGTTAAGACGTAGGAGATTCGTAGTATAAAATACATGAGATCTTTATACAATATTAGAATTATCTTCTTCTATTCAAAATAACTTTATACAAAAAAATTATTTTTTATTTGTTGATTTTTACGTCATATTTATTGTTCTCTTAAAATGAGAGTCGTATAACTAAAATAACATTTCTATGTGCCAGCAATTTTTTGTTTTCACTTTGTCTTTATCTACTGGAATAATGATTTGGAATGTGAAAATAATTTATGCTTACCCAAGAAAACAAAATTCTAATCATGTTAATTTTGGTATGTACCATTTTGGTATTACCTTTCAAATCAATTTCAATGTCATAAAGAGACAACCTACCCAATTCTAAAAGGAATGCAAATTAAATATTTTGATGGCTCTAGAAAATAAAAGAGGACCAAAAAGAATTTGAAATAATTTGGTTGTTCATAGTTCATAGTTTCATACACCTCTTTTCACCACTCTTTTAAATTGTAGATTTGAATTTTTTTCATTGAATTTACAAATAAATAAATAAATATTATATATGTATATATGCTTCATAAAAATGAAATAATTACTGCTATGTTATATTTAAGTTTACAACAATATTAGTGTCTAAGGTGGGCAAACGTCTAAATAGCCGAAAATATAATAAAGTCTTTATACAAATAATCAATCAAATTTACTTTTTACTTTTCCTATAGCCAGTATATAAATTATATTGATTATACAGGATCCATTTTGTTTTTCTTTTGCTATGAGGGATTACCATAAAAATAGCACATACTAACCAGTTTTCGGATTGGTAATTGAAAAATAGCCAGTATTTTCAAAGCCATTGAAAAATAGTCACTATTTTGCTGAAACACGAAAAATTCCAGCATAATATGCTGAATTATGGAGCTCCTGCATATAAAGTTTCAGCATATTATGTTGGAACTCTAGCATATGAAAAGTTTCAGCATAATATGAAGGATTATGGAGCTCTTGCGAATAAATTTCCAGCATATTATGTTGGAACTCTAGCAAATTGTGAAATTCCAGCACAATATGCTGAAACTTTCCATGTGCTGGATTTTTAAGAGTGTTTTTGTTTAGATTTTATATTTACATGAAAAATAACTAAATTTGAATTAATTTTAAAACTGTGGCTAATTTTCAATTATCAGCTATAAATCTAGTTGTTTTTTTATTTCTTTTTCCCGGGATTACCACTTCCCTTTGTCAAGCAATGGCACTAGGACGACATCTCACATGGGCTTGTCTCAAATTGTGGGGAGAAATTTAAAAATAGTCAGATTTACAACTGGTCATTCAAAAATAGCCCAGCTTCAAAAGTAATCGAAATTTAGCCACTTTTCATGTAAAGATAAATCTGAGCGAAAATACTGTTCAAAACCCAAAAATACGCCCGTATATTATACTGGAGTTCCAGCATAAGTATGCTTGAACTCCAGCATATTATACGGGAGTTCCAGGATAACTATGCTGGAACTCCAGCATAATATGTTGGAGTTCCAGCATAAGTACACTAGAACTCCAGCATAATATACTGGAGTTCCAGCAAGTATAAATGTCTAGTATAATATACTGGAGTTTGGAGCACCGATGCTCCAGTCTCCCGTATATTATACAGGAGTCAGCAAAGTATACCGGTCCAGCATAATATGCTGGAGTTCGTACACAGATGCACCGAACTCCCGTATATTATGCGGGACCGGTCTTTGTTGTAGCAAAATAGTGGCTATTTTTCATTGACTTCGTAAACGGTGGCTATTTTTGAATGATCAGTCCGAAAATTGGCTATACCGTGCTATTTTAACGGTAAAGGGTAATGAGTATTTGGGTAGGGAGATTGGGCTTGGGTTGGACAGATTTGGGTGCCATTTATTTGGGCTGATTTTGGCTTTTAAAATGGCCCAAGTTCCAAATTTAAACCGAATTAAATAAACTTCTTATTTCCTTTTCTTTTTTTTCTTTTTTTTTTTAATTAAAAATCATAGAAATTAAAATCCTAGATTATCTAAAAATGTGAAATTAAACTAATTAAATAATTATAAAAGCTACTTAATCCTAAATTAAAAGAGAAAAAAATCAATAAAAGGAAAAAGTGTAAAAATGAAGCATTTTTGTGATTTTCAATTTTTATAAAACAGGTAACTACCGATTAATCCTAAAAATATAAAAATAAAGCCTAAATGCCATGCGTGATATTTTTGGTATTTTCATGATTTAAATAATATAAACGTGCACTGACATATGCAAACAGTCGACAAAAAATGCTACAAAAATCTACAAAATTGCAAATAGTGGGAGAAATTTATTTTCTTGAATCTATGTGAGTAATTCATATGGGGCAAATATTACGTGCTCACAGCTGCCCCTCTTTGCTCAGAAACACGAAGAGTTTTCGTGCAAAGATAAAGTGAGCGGATACGAGCGATTTTTTGTCCATTTGAATACTCCGTGGGAAGCATTTTTGAAAGATCTGACCGTACCCTGCTTTCGAGATTGCCTACATATCCTTGACTATAAAAGAATCAGGTCGGTGTAGTTCGGAAAGTTTTGGTAGTTGGACTACCATGAAGTTGTGATTTCATTGTTGTTGTTGCTGCTACTGCTTACTGAACTCCTTATTACATCATGACAAAATAAAAGAAGCTAGACTAAACTATGATCTATGCATTACAAGAATCCTATCTATATCTTCAAACTTGATCTTGCAGTTCCTGTTGCTCTGTCGACTCGTACTCTTCAGGTGAAATTCCTTTGTTGCTGACTTGAATTGTAATCTGAGATGTTTTCCCTTTTCTTCAGGTGCGCGTCTGATTGCTGAACTTGAACCGTCTTCCTTCGAACATTGCTGCTTTCCCTTTGTTCTTCAGGTGAGCTCTTGATTACCGACACTTGAATTGCTTTGTTCTCCAGGTGGGCTCCTGATTACCAATGCTTGAATTGTTTTGTTCTCCAGGTGGGCTCCTGATTACCGATGCTTGATCTGCTTTGTTTTCCAGGTGAGCTCCTGATTACCAANTTACCGACGCTTGATCTACTTTGTTCTCCAGGTGGGCTCCTGATTATCGACGCTTGATCTGCTTTGTTCTGTGGGATCCTCATTACCGATGCTTGATCTGCTTTGTTCTCTAGGTGGGCTCCTGATTACCGACGCTTGAATTGCTTTGTTCTCCAGGTGGGCTCCTGATTACCGACGCTTGATCTACTTTGTTCTCCAGGTGGGCTCCTGATTATCGACGCTTGATCTGCTTTGTTCTGTGGGATCCTCATTACCGATGCTTGATCTGCTTTGTTCTCCAGGTGGTCTCCTGATTACCAACACTTGAATTGCTTTGTTCTCCAGGTGGGCTCCTGATTACCGACGCTTGATTTGCTTTGTTCTCCAGGTGGGCTCCTGATTACCGATGCTTGATTTGCTTTGTTCTCCAGGTGGGCTCCTAATTACCAACGCTTGATTTGCTTTGTTCTCCAGGTGGTCTCCTGATTACCGACACTTCAATTGCTTTCCTTTCCTCAAAACCGGTGTTGTTCTCCCT